TTGTCACTGCCCTCCAGCTGCTGGCCAGATCCTGCCACAAAACACAAGAGTGGTACATGCTTTGACAATGCAACTGATGATGTTATTGTTGCATAAAAAGCCTTTGCCTGAGCTATTATTTGATTTTGCACATGCATTTTCTGCAAATACACTAAACTGTAAGTGTGACGGACCCCCGCAGGTCTGCACTAGAACCGGGGCCGGCGGCGCCCCCTGCAGGCTGCCGGGCGGGCCAGCAGGCAGCCCCAGGAGCAGGGGGGGGGGGGCAAGGGGGGCGGCTAGCTCCATGGCGGGGAAGGAGGGGCCGGGAATGGCCTCAGCCAAGGGGCGAGGAGCCCGAACGGCGCGCCGTTCACACGGAGCAGCGCAGATCCGGCGTCAGATATGTTAACTGAAATTTAGAGAAAACTAAATTTTTGTTTTAAGTTTTACAGTGCTTTATTATTTTTGCACTTTTTACACCCAAAAATGTCATTGCCCGCCCTTCTACAATTACGTTATTTAAACAAATGTGTTGCAATGGTAAAAAAAAATGTGTGTGTGTCTGAAAACTATAGGTACTGGCGGTACTTATAATTTTTTTAAAGGGTTCTTTATAAAAAAGGTTGAGAAATACTGGTCTAAGGTTTTAAACTGCAACTCGTAAACTTTGTCAAATTTTTCAATTCATTGTAATCTTTGTAAAACCTTGCAACTTTGTAACTCTCAGCAACTTTGCTTTAGAAGTTCAGGGGGGGAGTGTGCGTTTAATAGGAGTTACAAGACCTCTGAGGCACTTGGAGCACATGGTGATGAGTCATCAGAGATTGCTGCTTTGCTGGATAAAAGGAAGTCTGGGCATGCTCCCTGGTGATGAGGTGGATGAGTCACAGGAGCCATACAAACTCAATAAAAGGAGAGCGAGCACGTGTTGTACAGGGAGATTTCCATACATACACAATATAAGGAGAGAGACCAAATGGCAGATGTCTCTCTCTTTTTTCCACTTCCTGAGAAGCTCTTCTTTCTATAGCCAGTGTGTTTCCTGACCAGCTCCCCAGCCATGATCAGCAGACAGACTCTCCAGAATCTACATGCTTTGGATCTTTCTGAAACCCATATGCCTGAGGGCAGGAATGAATGTGTGTGAATGAATGGAGGTATGTATGTGCCTTTTTGAGTGTGTGTGAGAGAGATAGCTGGTTCCCTCCTCAGTTTAAACCTTTGGTGGCAGCTCTATCTTTATTTTATCAATAAACCAATGCTAGTGTAACCCTGGGTAGTCTCCAGTGGGAATTTTCTGATAACAGTTATTACAGTAATAAATCTAAGAAACTAAATTAAAAAAAAAACAACAATCCACCTCTCCCTGTCATAGCTCAGAAACATTAACAGGAGTTTGACTTTTCAGATAATGACAAACTGCATATTATGACTCCCCCTATTTTTAACCCAATTTTAAAATAGCTACATCCCTGTAGAGTAGGGTTGCCAGGTGCTTTCCCCTACGTCTTAGTGCTCAACCGCTCCCCTATTCCTATCCCTGCACTCACTCTTAAAGGGGACATACTGTTTTATTTTAATGTTTTTTGGCATACTTGGAGTCCTTTTTTTTCCCTCAACAACTTTGGTCTCCCCCCCCCCCTTTTTTTTTCTTTCAACAAAATTTTTTTTTTATTCCACTTCAACAGAATTTTTTCCCATTTTTGGGGGGGGGGGGTTGGTATTTTTGTTTCAACCATCTGGTAACCGTACTGTAGAGAGGTAGCTAGACATAGGGGCTGTGTCTACACTGGTGCGATCTCGCACAAAAGCAGCTGCTCGCGCAAAAACTTGCTGCTTGTCTACACCGGCCGTGTGTTCTTATGCAAGTAAACTGACATTCTAATGTATAAAATCTGGGCTTTTTGCGCCAGAACTCTGACACTCTTGCTCAGGAATAAGCCCTTTTGTGCAAGAGCTCTTCCAAAAGAGGCCAGTGTAGACAGGCAACATGAATTTTGTGCACAAGAAAGCCCCCTGGTTAAAAATGGCCATCAGAGCTTTCTTGTGCAAGAGAGCGTCTACACTGGCACGGGTGCGCTTGTGCAAAAGCACATCCCAGTGTAGACTCTCTTCTGGAAGAGTTTGCCTGAGAAAGCGCCAGTGTAGACATAGCCCAGGGAGAACTGGATTTATTGTGGTAGGGTGGGAAATGTCCTCATGCTTTTTTAGAGAGCCTTGTATAAAGGTGGGAAGCACCAATTGCTGTTGTATAGCAGGAATAATGGCACTGATAACACGGGTGGGCTGGGCTCTCTGCTAGGATGATCGTCAGTCCTGGGCTGGTCACTGGGTCACCACCCATGCCCCAGTGCGCGCCCGGAACTACAGCTCCCAGCATGCCCCAGTGCGCGCCTGGAACTACAGCTCCCAGCATGCCCCAGTGCGCGCCCGGAACTACAGCTCCCAGAATGCTCCATCTTCAAGCAGGCCCCTCCCACCGGAAATATGGGTCCTGTTTTCCGGCGTCTGCGGTGCGTTCCTCCGGCGCGGAGACAGGCCTGGAAAGGGGCCAGGCTGAGGGTCCTGTGAGCTCTGGCGCTGCTCTAGCGGGAGCTGGGGCGGGGGCTGCTGGCGCTGTGTGGGGCGGGGGCTCGGGCACGGACAGTGTCTGGTCCGAACTAGACGTTTCAGTCGCTCGCGCGTCGCGGTGTTTGACACCCGCAGGCGCCTTAGCGCGGCTCAGTGACACGCACCGAGCGGGGCGGGCGGGGCCGCAGCACCCGCCGGTCGGTTAACCGGTGCCGGTTAGGTGGCGCTAACGTTTAACTGATGCCCCAAGTGGGGTCCAGGCCGGGGCTCGCAAGCTGGGCAGGAGAGGGCAGAGGTTGCCCTGGATGGGAGCAGCACCAGTCCTTGGCATCTAGGAGCTGGTGCAGGCCCCACCTGTTGCCAGTGACTGGAACCTCTAAGCCAGTGGTCCCCAGCCTTTTGGGGCTGCTCGGTGCGGGGCTGCTCACACCTCTGCGCCCAGGGCAGGGCCGCCCATGTGCCGTATGCCTGGGGCCAGCACCGCATGCACCACGTGGCAGGCGCACATAAATGCCTTGGCAGGCACCATGGCACCTACGGGCACCACGTTGGGGACCACTGGTCTAAGCATTACCCAGCAGGAAAAATTCACACCTCAAGAGACATAGTTAAGCAGACCTAGCCTATGTTGTGGACAGCTCTAGGTCAGCGGAAGAACCTTTCCCTTGACATAGCTCTCATTTATCAGGAAGGTGGAATATATACAGTTTGTGTGTGTCGGAGGGGGGGAGAACCCCTACTATTTCTATAGCAGTAGTCTATTTAACATCCTTCTCTACACTGAAAAGTCTCTTATGTCTCTTAAAGGCATGAAAAATGTGCCCTTGTGAGTGACACAGTGGAGCTGACCTATCACCCTCTCTCCTGTTCCCTCTGGACAGTGGAATGCCAATAGAAGAGTTCTTCCATCAACCTACCTGTTTTCTCTAGGAGGTGGATTAACTACAGTCATGGGAGAACCATTCCCATATCTGTAGCAAGTGTCTGCACCCAAGTGCTACAGTAGCACAGCTGTGCAATTGTAGTCTTTGAAGTGGAGATGTAGCTTTACTTTGCTCGAGCAATTAGTAAATGGCACCACCAAAAGAACTGGTTTGCCTGTATAGGTACATCCACATTAGGGTTCTTAGTGACATTTTATTAAAACAAAATCACACCCTAACCAACACAATCATGCCAGCATCCCCTTTAACTATACATCTGGACTTTTCCTTATTGATGCTTATGCAACATGATGCTTATTATTGTCTCACTGTTCTGGGTTGATTTGTTTCCCCCCAGGTACAGATGAAAATGGCAACATTGGGCAGATCCTTTCAAGGAGTTCCTTCTGTGGAATTTCCTCAGACTCCAGCAGCTCTCTCTGAGAGTACCTTCCAACCTGGCATCACACAGAGTGAGTTGCAGCCTGGAACTGTGGGGCATGAATATCCCCAGCAAAGCATGGGGGCTACGGCTGGGAATGGAAATGATATAATAGAAGGCTCTGACCCCACCAACTCATACCTGGACCTTGCTTCCCCAGCTGCAGTTGGAAGTTATGATGACACCTTGACTATTGCAACAGTTCCTTTCACAGACTTTGAAATCCCACCAATACTATTGCAGCCGCAGATTCGCACCCAGTAAGTACAAAAACAAACAGGAGAAAGGTGGGGGACAGCACCTCCTAACTATAGTAGATTTGTCTGACCAGCTAACTTTTCAGATCTGTAATTTGTATCAGTATTCTACTGGGATTGATAATTTTCAAAGAATCACAGAAGATTAGGATTGAAAGAAACCTCAGGAGGTCATCAAGTCAATCCCCTGGTGAAAGTAGGACCAACCACAACTAAATCATCCCAGTCAGGTCTTTGTCAAACCTCACCTTAAAAACCTGTAAGGATGGAGATTCCACCACCTCCCTAGGTACTCCATTCCAGTACTTCACCACCCTCCTAGTTAAATAGTTTTTCATAAACTAAAACATAGAATCCAACCTAGGCCTCCCTCAGTGTAACTTGAGACCATTGTTCCTCATTCTGTCATCTGTCACTACTGTGAACAGACTCTCTCCATCCTCTTTGGAACCCCCCTTCAGGAAGTTGAAGGCTGCTATGAAATTCCCACCCTCCATTCATCTGCAGACTAAATTAACTCAGTTCCCTCAGCCTATCCTCATAGGTCATGTGCCCCAGGCCCTAATCATTTTTATTGCCTTCTGTTGGATTCTCTCCAATTTGTCCATATCCTTTTTAGTGGAAGCCCCAAAACTGGACATAACAATCCAAATGTGGTTTCACCAGGGCTGCATAGAGGGAAATAATCACTTCCCTTGGGCAGCTGGTAATGCTACTACTAATGCAGTCCAATATGGCATTAGCTTTTTTGCACTGTCCTGTTTATGTTTTTTCTTACTCTAACCTCACTGATGGGGCAGGAAATAGCCCTCAGTAGTTTGAGGAATTAAAGGATGTTTGCATTTAGATAACGGGATGCTGAAATGGAAACTTGATCTAGCTATAATGTTTTTCCTGCTTTCTGTCCATTGATATTTTTTTTGATTGATAGCCTTTGCTCTACAGGTTTTTTTTTCTTGTAGCACAAGGACATCAATGTTTTGAATCTACATGGTCATTGTGATCTAATAACACTTTGTGATAGGCCCATGATGTTGCGCTGCATAATTCTCAGTGGTGAAGTAAGGTATAGTTGTTATTTCCACTGTTTTATGACTGGAAAGTCCTTTAAGTTCCAGGATTTTGCCTTCCCTGGAGGCAGTAGACTGCACTCAGCCATGTTCGGAGGATGTATTAAGGTGCAAACACTGCGATGCATGACAGGACAATTGCTCCATTTATGCTTACAACAGTGGTACAAGAGAATCCAGGGATTCACCCAACTGCTCCAAAGGCATGAGAATAGTTTCAGAAACTTAAGATTCACTTATAATCCCAGCCTGCTGCTTCTCAAATGCCATATAAAAGAAGATGGCTGCATTCTTTTTTGTGTGGTTGAAGAGTATGTATACAGATCAGTATTAGGACTTGTCTTCACTGGCAAGTTACTGGGCTGTAACTTTCTTTCTCGGGGGCATGGGATAGGAGCAAGTTAAAACACTGTAACATGCTAGTGTAAACAGGCTCCCAGCACTGTTAGCTGCTCCTGTTGTAGAAATGGTTTATCTAGAGCAGTGGTCTCCAACCTTTTTACACCCAAGATCACTTTTTAAGTCTCAGAACAGGCAAAGATCTACTGCCCCGCCCCTTCCTTGAAGCCCCACCTACATTACATGAGGAAATCTAATGTAAATGTACTGCGTAGGTGCGCAGTTCAGAGAGGGCTCAAGAGCCACTCTTAGAACCCCTGAGATCTACCGGTAAATCGCGATCTACTGGTTGGTGACCACGGATCTAGAGTGCTGAGAGAGCTCTCGCCATTGGTGCTGAGACCACACTGCCATGTTAAAAAGCTGCTGTAGCAGCCCTGCTTGAGTAGCACTTTAAACTTGGAAGTGTAGACAGAGCCTTATGCTGCAGCTTTTTGATTGTTCTTTGTGTGATTAGTTTAATTCATGTACAGGTTGAATGTCTCTCTTCTGGAATTCTGGGGACCTGACTGGTTCCGAATGAGAGAATTTTTTGCACCATGGAAGGTCAGTGCTGTCTAGCAGCATTACCAACACTTCCACTGCTTATTAGGCTGTTAGAGGACATTTAGGGGTAAATTAGAGCTAAATAACAGCACAGAACAGAGCTAGGACTGGTGGCTGTGAACAAACTTTATAGGACCATGGGAAACTTGGTCACATCCAACTAACTGAAATAATTCTGGATGACAGATGTTTCTGGACAAGAGTGTTCTGGATTAGAGAGGTTCAACCTACATCATAAAACCACATTAGGAGACTGAAGCGGCACAATAGGCACTCACCTAAAGAAATAGTAGTGCTATAGGAATAACGTATCCATTCCTTTCCCACCTTCTCCCACAAACAGTTCAAGAAAGAAACTCACGGAAATCAAGAAAAGGCAACTGAGCAAACCCTGTTTTGACAATTTTGTAGTGTTCTGTCATTATTTTTGGGAGCAAAAAAAAATGTCATGTTTGCAACCTCCTTGCTATTCACAGATGCTAAGAGTCTGTATATTCTGTGCTGGTTTTCACTCAGGATTCATGGGTGAGATTTGTATAGTGCCAAATACATATCCGGAAATGTTTGCCTCAGAGTATGGTTAAACACTTAGGATTCTTACTGCAGGACTGGGAATGTTTAACAGGAACTGGAGACAAAATAGTTATCAAAACTAGTAGAAAGTTTTAAACTTAAAAATAGCATCTATTGTTACATAAACTTTATGTGGAAACATTAATCTAGTTTACCACTTACCTTGTTCTTCAGGGTTTATTGTTTAGCAGGAATATTTTTGGGACACACTAACAAAATACACCAGCAACTACACACCACACCATAATAACTCGAACTCAGGAACCAATCCTTGCAACAAACCTCGGTGCCAACTCTGCCCACATATATACACCAGCAACACCATCACAGGACCTAACCAGATCAGCCATACAGTCACTGGTACATTCTCCTGCACATCTACCAACATAATATATGCCATCATGTGCCAACAATGCCCCACTGCTATATACATCGGCCAAACTGGACAGTCCCTACGTAAAAGAATCAATGGACACAAATCAGATATTAGGAATGGCAATATACAAAAACCTGTAGGGGAACACTTCAATCTTCCTGGACACACAATTGCAGATCTAAAAGTAGCCATCCTGCAGCAAAAAAACTTCAGGACCAGACTTCAAAGAGAAACTGCTGAGCTACAGTTCATCTTTAAGTTTGACGCAATCAACTCTGGATTAAACAAAGACTGTGAATGGCTCGCTAACTACAAAAGCAGCTTCTGCTCTCTTGGAATTCACACCTCCAGATCAGCTGCTAGAAGTGGGCCTCATCCTCCCTGATTGGATCCACCTCGTCATCTCCAGCCTGATCCTGGCCTGCATATTTATACCTGCCCCTGGAAATTTCCACTACATGCATCTGACGAAGTGGGTCTTTGCCCACGAAAGCTTATGCTCTTACACTTCAGTTAGTCTATAAGGTGCCACAGGACTCCTCGTCGCTTTTGCAGATTCAGACTAACACGGCTACCCATCTGATACTAACAAAATGGAACAAAAGAGTGACCATGTTCGATCATAGTGGTGGTCCATCTAGTTCTGTGCCCTGTCTTCCAACAGTGAACAAGGTCAGGTGCTTCAGAGGAAATGATGAGAACAAATAACGGTCAAGTGATCTGTTCCATATCACTTGTTCCTAGCTTCTGGCCACAGAGGCTAGGAACACTTCAGGTTTATTGATCCTCTCAAAGAATTATATAAATTACTTAGGCATGATTTCCCTTCACAGAAGCTGTATTGACTTTCCCCAACCTAGTGTTCACCTATGTGGTGATTTTGTTGTTTACTACAGTGTCAACCAATATGGCTGATACTGAAGTTGGTCTTTACCAGCCTGTAATTGTCAGGATTGCTTCTGGAATCTTATTTCTTTAATTGATGTACATTAGCTCATATTAGATGATGGGTGGATTTGAGAGAGGTGACATACCACAATTTACAATAGCATATTTCAGTTCCTTCAGAACTCTTGAGTGAATATCCTCTGGTCTTGGTGGTTTGTTACTGAGGAATTTATCTCTTTTGCAAATCCTCCTCTATTGACAATTCAGTCTGGGATAGTTCCTCCAACTTGTGACCTAAAAAAAAAAAGGGCTCAGATATAGGACTCTCCCTCACATCCTCTTCACAGAAAAATGATGCAAAGAATTCATTTAGCTTCTTCACAACAGTCATGTGTTCACTGAGTGTTTTAGCACCTCGGTTGTCCCATGGACCCACTGATTGTTTGGGGAGGCTTCCTGATTCTGATACACTGACAGAAAGTAAACAGCTGATACTTTTTGTCCTTTGCTAGTTTCTCTTTGAGACTCTTTTCAGTCTGTCTGTACTTGATTTCCACCAGCACTGCTGTAGCTCAGTCCCAATAAGTATGAATGGAGCAGCTGCTGCCTCCTCTCTGAGGATCACCACTTCTATGACAAACTTAATTTTTTCTATCATTGATTGGCAGACATGTTGGAGAAGCCTACTACTGTGCCATGCTTCATATTTGTTAGAACTTCTCCATTGGCCATCATTGTTGAAACTAATTACCTAATGGTCCAAATGTTGCCCTATTTTAATTTATGTTCAGGTAACTATTTTCAAGAAGAGATGAGTGAAAGTAAATTGCTTCCTTCTATACTCCAATAAACACTTTTCTTTTTAGCGACCATATATCTATCTCTAGACTAATACATCCTCTGGCTCTGTATTTTTCTTTATATAATTCAAGTGACCTGCAAACTGAAAGACATGGAACATCAACCACTAGCAACATATGCTCTAATTTTCTTGATATCACTCAATTCCATCCAAAGTTGTAAAATGGTGTTACTAGTCACATGACTGTTCATTCTCCCCTTGCAGAGTTTCTCTTTGCCGTGGAAAGAAGCATAAACTAGAGGAAGAGGTGGATGGGTAAGTTAAACTTAGTTGTCAGTGACCTGCTTTTAGCCTAATTCACTTTCTGTCTGTTAAGTCGGATGCAGTGTGATGCACGGTAGATCTCAAAAGATTGACTGTGCTTGGGTGAGTGAATCTTTCCCAGTAGTACTGTTGTTTGGAACCACTCTGAGTTGTTCTTTCCTGAACATAATTGCAAACCTCAAATCCCATGTGTATGTGAACTGAATATGTGATGGAGATTGTCTTGAAAAGTGTTTTTTGTTTGACGGTGAGAGCTAAAATGTCTCATGTCTTTGAAGTAAAGTCTTTTTGTCAACAAAGTATGCATCTCTGTAGAAATAGGAGTGACAGACTAAGACTGTGGTGGGCAATCTGGTGCCCGCAGGTTGCCATGGGGGTTCCATGTGGGCCTAACAAAACCCTTCTCTGCTCCCTTCCTCCATAACGCTTGTGCACTGGGTCCCTGCACTTACCTCCTATTCCTGCTCCTTCCCACGAATCAGCTGATTTGTGGTGTTGAAGCTCCAGAGAAAAGGGGGAGGAGTGGGGACAGAGCACAAATCAGCCAATTCATGGTGCTCCAGAAGTGCTGGAAGGAGGGAGGGAGCAGGGATGGGAGGCACCTGGAAGAAGAGGCCTAGCAGGGATATGACATTGTACAGTAAGAGTAAATGGCTTCTTGTTACTTGAAGCTCCATTAATACACGAATAAAGTATTTCTTCTTATTTTTAAGTGTTCAGCGTGCCATGCATAATGTATTTTTAATATTATTCTTGGGGTCGTGGTTAGTGCACACAACTGATTGCAATTTTGTGGCCCACTTAGAAGAAGGAGGGCCCTCATATGGTCCACTCACCAGCCTTGGTTGCCCATTGCTGGACTAAGATCTTAATGTCATAGATTTCTCTGTTGCCCACTTCAAATTTGTTTTTTTTCCCCTAGTTGCCCGGAAAAGAAGAGACTATTTAAAACTGTGCCCTACTCTCCGAATCCCAGCAGTGAAACGATTCTCTGTGCAGGTCAGCAGGTAGCTGGGGAAGTAGCAAGGCCATGCACTGGTAACCTTTGTGAAGCGGGCTTGTTAGAGATTGCCTGTGAAGAGATGGACCAGACAATGGGAGAACAGCAATGTGAGGTTGCTCGCAGGAAGCTTCAAGAAATTGAAGACAGGTAAAGGCAGGGATTGACTAGAGTGGTTTCTTTTCCTAGCATTTCCTTTATTCATGGGCATTATCTAAGGGTTAACTGAGCAGCTAGTGGAGTAGTGCGATGGCAGCACCACTGAGTTGGGTTGAAACTCACTTTTTAACATTTGATTTTTTTGAAGTGCTCTAAAATTCACATGGGCTACATCTACACTGGCATGATTTTCCGGAAATGCTTTTAACGGAAAAGTTTTCCGTTAAAAGCATTTTCGGAACAGAGCGTCTAGATTGGCAGGACGCTTTTCTGCAAAAGCACTTTTTGTGGAAAAGCATCCGTGCCAATCTAGACGTGCTTTTCCGCAAAAAAGCCCCGATTGCCATTTTCGCGATTGGGGCTTTTTTGTGGAAAACAAATCTCTGCTGTCTACACTGGCCCTTTTGCGCAAAAGTTTTTCGGAAAAAGACTTTTGCCCGAACAGGAGCAGCATAGTGTTTCCGCAAAAGCACTGACAATCTTACATGAGATTGTCAGTGCTTTTGCAGAAATTCAAGCGGTCAGTGTAGACAGCTGGCAAGTTTTTCCAGAAAAGCAGCTGCTTTTCCAGAAAAAGTGGCCAGTCTAGACACGGTCATGGTGACTTGTAAAGCTGCTATTGAGACAATCCCTCGTGGGAATCTGGGATACGGTTATTAGTCCAAATTTGACATTGTGAGCAAGGCATTCCCAAGAAGAAGATTCATTCAAAATAATAAAATATCAAAATTTTACAGTTAAGTGTAGTTTGTACATGTTGTGGGCTCAATCTGTGCCTCTTATCCTTGTCAAATTGGTATTACAGTATCAGGACTGGTTTCAGCTAGAGTGCAGCACTCCATCCTAATATTTGGAGACAGGTCAAAGTTAAACAGTGTGGCAGAAGCTAGAGAAAATTGCTTGTGCTTGTGCATGTGCAGCTGGACGCTTTTATTACAAGCCAGAGTTTTTGCACACAACGTGACACGGTAACTGGGAGGCTCAGGATGACATGCAGTGGCCACTGTACCTGAGCAACACCAACTACAAGTTCCAGTCCTATCCTAAACACTAGTTGCATTCTGCCTGCATTACTTAGGGGCTCCTAAGAGAAAATCTTCCAGAGCAAAGCTTTTAGTCTGAGATCTAGTATTCCCAACTGTTCTAAAATCCAGGGGCATGCTTGGATTTTGCTTAAGTATTGTCAAGGAAAATAGCGAAGGAGGAAAGACTGAATGGATGATACTAGTAAGAGGCAATATAAAGATAACGTAGCCACACCATGTGCTTGGGTAATGGTGAGGAGTAGTGGGACTTAATGTCCTTGACCCCGTCACTGTAGTATCAGAACAATTGTCTTTAATGTGTGTAGTCTCATGACTTGTGCCATTGCCTCCATTTTACAGTTGTGGAACTGAGGCACAGAGAGACATTAGTGATTTGCCCCAGAGATTAATTGAACCTGGGATCTCCCAAGTCCTAAGCACAGACCACGGATATTCCTGGACCCCAGAGCCCAGAAAGAGGGAGGTCTGGCGGCGAGGAAGGAGCACTGTGGCGGCCACCAGTAGCTAGGCGCATGGAGCCCCAGTGGCACAGTGAGGCAGGAGGGGAGGGGCCTCCTCAGTCCAGCAAATCCCCTCGTTTGGGAACAGTGAGGTCCAGAGTGTTGGACCAGTTTGTAGTATGCTAACCAGTGGCCCATCCATCTTTTTTGGCTGGGTCTCTTCTTGGGCCTCAGGAAACACATTAATAATAAAGATGTTACTGTAAGGATGGTATAAGGTTGATTAATTCAGCACCAGGATACTGCTGTCAGTCAAAAGAGTAACAGCCTTTAAGATTTAGGAAAAATAAATAGAGAAAACAATTCACATTTCTGTAGTTCTTCCACTCTACACAAATCAAGGATTTGTACCATTTTTATCCTTCAAAGTGCTGTAGTTATGAAAAAGAAAATTTAGTCATAAGGTTTTATATTTAATCAGTCACCACACACTTCGGAATTGGTATCCCCCAGCTTGTACAGGAAAATAAGCATTACACAAACTACAGCAGTGGTAGGCAGCCGGCAGCTTGTGGGCCACTTGTGGCCCATTGGAGTTTCTGTGTGGCCACAAGACACTTTTGTTTATCATTGCCCATGGGCAGAGTTCCCAGATCATGCTCATTTTTTCCATGTTGTTTTTTCCTATTGATACTACAAAAGTGAAATGCCTGTAAAGAAAGGGCATGTGAAGTGAGGTGTGTGCTGATTGCATGCATTCAGAGCCATGTGCTCCCCCTGCATCCAGTCAAAGCACTGCTACAATTCATTCGGCACATCCCACAAATTCTAGGGATGCAAACGCGGTGAGCAAAGCCTCCCTGTCCTGGGAGACTTTCTTGTGTATGACACTCTTGCGGTCCATTGAGATGAAGGAGGCTACTCTTGCAGCTGCTTACTAGCCTTGGTTGCCCCTCACTAAACTACAGTGAACACTTTAGAATGATACTTCAACCCATTAAACCGTATATTTAGATTTCAGTGGCTTGCATATAGGTGCACTCAGTGTTCTGGAATGGTAGAATGTGCTGCTGGTCATCCTTGAGTCAGGGTTTTGGAACAATCCATTATACCTTTGATCCATTGGTCTGTGACATGAGCTCTGGCTTCTGTAACACCTATTTGGCATATCACATTGCAGGGTCAGAGCCTGCCATTGCCAGACCAATGATGGACCACATACAGGGTTCTTCTGTATGCCCTTTTCTAGGATTTCATCCTAGAAATCCAGATAGTCTCAGAAATTTATATTTAAAAGCTTTACCAAAGAGTAGATTATTGTAGTGCATCCTATGTGGTCAGGCTGTGGGTCAATCTTATCCTGAGCAGCTTATAGCATAGGGTCACCAAAATGCAGGGTCTTTCAGAGCATCTGAAAATAATTGTTGAAGCTGAAATGTGGGGAGCTGAGAGGACGAAATGGCTGCTTAATTCAGTGTTGCTGCTTTATATTGTGTGTTTGAACTGTATATCTTTCCTGAATGGGATTCACTTAACAGTGAGTATACATGATTGCTAGTCATAGGCATACATATTTGTCAGTGATGTGGTTAATAATAAGATATTATTTCCCCCTTCCTTGCCTCCATTCTTAGGATAATTGATGAAGATGAAGATGTTCATGCCGATGAGAATACTAGCAATCTGCCCACCCTTGTCCTGTCTGATACTCTTCAAAAGGGGTTGAGGAGGGATTTTGATCAAGTCCTGACAAAAAAAATAATAGAGTCCATGTAAGTTCTGGAATTAATGTTGGAGTTACACAGACACATACCCAAATGGGGGAAAGGGGGTTGGCCCATGGATTCCGTCTCTCCTCTATTGGGCAAGACTTGATTCCACTGTAACTCTTTGTAGTGTTACTGTTTGAGGGAAGACTCTCCTTTGACAGTACGTATGTGATGTAACCAGTGCTACATTGTGTAGTAGGGCACTATATGTAGTGAAAAAAATAGAGTACATACTTCCAATTTCTGATAGAATGGTAAATTCATGTAGAGCTAACTGTTTTATGCTGCCTAGAATACACAATGTTATGTGTTCTCTCCATTTCACTAACCTTGTAGCCTGCTGTTTGTGTATGTACCTTTCCATATCAAGGGGAACAGTCTCAGTGTGTTGAACAATAATGAGATTCATGGTTGGTGCAGTAGGAGAGAAGAATTATTTCATGTTCCACGTGGGATTAGAATTGAGTAATGCAATGAACGAAGAAAGGGCAAACTTATGATGAAAATCAAGAAACCTCCTCTTAGGCTGTGAAATAGTCTTACAAGGGGCGGAACTGGAACTGTCTCTAGTAGACTGGATGAAAAACCAGTACACGTACTTTGGGGGACATTCTGCACAGTGATGTAAACGGATGATGAAGTTAGGTGGTTTTCATTTGTCATTACTGTAATTGAAAGAGTTTTGATTAAACTAAGACTCTTATCCCTTCTAGGAGCCGACCCTCCATGGAGCTGGTGCTCTGGAAACCTCTCCCTGAGTTCCTCACAGATAAACTGAAATCTGTTTCTGTTGCTAAGAACTACAAGCAGCAAGCTACAGAAGGGTGCCAAGCTAAGCAGTCAGCTCTTGGAACTCCCTTCCAGCCACAAACTGAAACATTCTCTGAAGCACAACAAACTATGCCTTCAGGTCTGTATAGTAGCCTAGAAACATCTGGGAGTGTAGAAGAGGAGATGGAATTATAGAAGTCAGATTTCAGGCTGCAATGGTGAATTTCTGAAGATTTCTGTGGCTGACTTTCACTCCCTCTACCTTCCAGTTATGAGGTATGGACAGGAAGTTGTTGTTGTTGGGATTTTCTGTTTTTTGGGGGAGTTGGGGGTTTTTTTGGGTCACAATCAGAAGAATCTGCGGTTGCCACTTTAGGAGATTGAAGAGAAGCTTTATAGTCTGTTAAAAGCAGCATCTTTGACAAGAAATCCAGTGGCCTTTGGTGCAAGGAAGTGGTTCTCCAAATGGCTGATTGCACCTGTGCTCTTAGTCGCCATGGTAAGGAACAAAGTGCTGAGATTGAATATGTTGGTGGTTCAGACAACCCTTCTACTTGGAGAGCCATTAAGGCTTTGGAGCATATACTTCTCTGTGCTCGTAAAGCAGACGCCTAGAGAATGTTCTCAGCTGATTGATTTGGCTGCAGTTCTCCCTTGGTCTGTATCAGATTGGAAAGCCAGACATAGCCTTTGGAAATACTTCTGACGCACCTTTTGACTTCAATCTTGAAATGGAAAATGTGTGAATCAGATCTAGAGGAGCTACTTTAACTGAGCTTTGTGTAAATGTTGTCTCAGTAAGGGCCAAATCCTACTTGCCATACGTGACTAACCTCAAACTTTGAGTGGGACTACTTGTATTAGCAAAGGGAGCAGAATTTGACTCTACAGTTAAACCTGGACTTAGTAGTTTACGTAAACCAGAAACCCGCATCATAAAAACTATATCCTGATTTTCTGTAGTTTTTTACATTGCACCTGGATTATTAACTTACACTGCAGGGATTTATTCCAGATAATAGTACTGCAGGAAAGGAATCCAGTTCATTGCTTATTAGAAAGTAGTACAACAAATGTATTGGTATGTGGTAAACCAAGTAATCTCATGAGTCCGTCAGTCTCAAGGTTTCCTTGGAGACATCTGAACTGAGGTTCCCTTTGTGAAAATACTCTTCTGGGTAAAGGCGATATTAGGATGGTAATTCTCAATCTGTTTGCCTAGACTTCCCCCATACCAGGAGGAAGCCCATACAATGGCTCCGCAGGAAAGAAGCTTTAGATTTATTGGAAAGGCAACTGTCTACACTACTTTGCTTAGCATATCACCTTAATAGATGATGTGATTAGACCTTTTTCTTGCTAACAACCCATTTTATGCATTTTAAAGCCCAGCATTTAATTTGCAGGCAGCTTTTCTGCTCCTTTGGCTGTCAGTGGCATTTTAGCTGAAAGGAGATATTCTTTCTAACATGGGTGTTCGGAGTTAGGTAGAGAACTGTCATTTCTGTCTGATATTAATATGGTTTTCTATCCCAATCTTCTTGCCCCAGATTCTGAAAGAGCATTAATGTTTAATATTTAAACAGTGTTTAAGAACTACACATTAAAATTATTCTGTTGTTTGAATCAGCATTGAGCTAGGCTGGAAACTGGTGCATAACCTGACATCTCAGCCCTTGATTTTTGTATGGGGCAGCAAATGTGTGCAGTTTTCATATGCTCTTGTAGCTAACTTATGTGAGGTCGGAGAAAGCTTCCTGTATGTAATATGTAAAACTTCTCATGTGAATGCTATTAATTCCTAAATGAGACTTAAATTCTACAGCATCTGGGAGGCTGCAGTGTCACCATGTGGAAAAGAGTCAAATAATATGGAAGTGCTGAAGGGAAAACATCATTGTCTGCTTTGTGAGGTTAGAAGGGGTTGCAGTGCTTCCAAACAGAGATCTGCTCTTCACTTGTATGACTTTTGAAAAGGGTCACAGTTCAAATTGTACTGATCAGATGGCTCTGGTCCTCAGTTCAGTGAATGAGTAGGAGGAAACATTCATATGTTTAATGGAATCATCTTGCCAATACCTAAAATTATGGTACAGAGGAACCTGGAGGATCGTAGGGTGCTAAGTGTTAAATCCAAATAGGGCTCTTTTTTCCTCTCTTAAAAAAATATTAGAAGTAATATTTTAATCTGAATGTCCAAGAGGAAAACGTGTCTATACTCTGCCTATGGTCTTAACTCCTTCGTATGTGTGCCAAAGGTTACTATTCAGATGTATGTTTTCTCCTTACATTCTGTGCTGATGCAGTTTTCTCTGAGCCCTAGTACTACTCTACCACTTCAATTAAGATTTCTCAGTGGTTTATTGGAAACATGTTCATTGTCCTAAGCCAGAGAGTGATGTTCTCCAAAGCAGTTCAGCATTAATTAGTAAACATCTAATTTGGTTTTCAGAAGTCTTTATTGTTTTATATTAAGGGGAACCATTCAAAGCTCCTCTTCCTTTGATGAGGGAAAGGGAAAACTGCTTCCCATCCTGGGACTAAATGGGTTGCTAATTGAACTAAATTGTGCTTTAAGAAAACGTGTTAAGATGTGAGCAGCTGCACGATACAAAAGTTGTGTCCTGACAGTTCTATTGTTAGCTTGATTAAGGTTTTTTTGGTTCTGCATGTTAAGTGAGGGCGCAATACTGAGAATATTCTTTCTGGATGTTTTATTTTGAAATATGAACGATCTTGTTCTGGTTTGTCTTCTGTTGGGACCAAATCACCATTTGTATGTCATAATTTTCAATAAAGTTTTTAAAATTGCTGTAAAACACACTGGAAATTAAGATGTTATGCTTGGTTTCCACTAGGGATGTTAGATATCATGTATTTTAGTAATAGTGTACCAGCAACAATTAACAGTTACATGGTTACTAAAATGCTCCCTGGGGATGGGTCCAGCAGCCAGTGCGCTTCCAGCCTCACTCCCAAGGATCCCCATGCCACCCTGCACTGCTGCCTTTGTATCAGAGGCAGCATTGTGAGGCAGCAGGTGGGAGCCGGTGTCTGTGGGGAGCCAATTTTTAAATTGGCTCCCGTTGCAGCTTGGCTCCTGTTTGCTGCCCCACACTGCAGCCTCTGATACAAAGGCAACAGTGTGGGGTGGCAGCAGCTTCTGTCCATGGTAAGAAAGTTAAGAAACTGGTAGTTGGCTAATCATGTAGTCCTGGCTCGTGCTGGGTCGTCTCTTACTGCATTTCAACTGCAGAGCCACTGCAGGGGTAGGCCCAGGACTCAGTCCTGGCTCTCACTGCCTTCTGCAGCTCGTGTCCACAGAGGGTCCCAGCTACATGTGGGACCCACATGGACAGGGACTGCTTTGTGGGATGCATTCTAATAGAAGCAGCAGCACAGGGGGGGGAAGCAGCACTGTGGAGATGGTGCTGGGGAGAACCTGCTTTGTAAGCTGGTTCTCCCTAGCTCCAGCTTTTGCTTCTCCCACTATACCCCCGCTGGCTTGAATACAGAGGTGGGGGAGGAAATGTGAGTAGTCAACTCAACTACCCTTAAGCCTAGGCTTGTTGGTTAGTCAGCTACTTGACTGCTTGCATCCCTAGTTCACCGAGGGCCTCAGCACCCCACGGACAGAGGCTCTTCCAGCATCCTGCCTGCCCCCTCGCGCTCCCCCCCTTCCATGCTCTGTATCAGAGGCAGCAGTGGGGGGGGGGGGGGGGGCGGGGGGCCCCGGGGCCCCCCCTCTCCTCCGGGTCCCAGCCCAGGGCCCTAAGTGGAGTATGGTGTCAACGAGCCACCCTCGAGAGGCAGGCAGCTCAGCAGGAGCCAGCTTAAAAGCAGGCCACCCCTGGCACTCGCTCCTGCCTTGTTCCCCTTCCCCAAAGGGGTGGGGGCAGGTTGGCTGTAGTCATTTGGATTTACCGATATGCCCAGGCTTAGTGTCTAGTCATTTAAATGACTAAATGCTAGCATCCCTAGTTTCCACTTCTCACTATCTTCATTTCCATTTCAAAGTCCACAAGTTTTACTGGGCACTGACAATGACACAACTAAATACACTGTATTATATTTAAATGTAAACAAGCAGAGAATGCAAAGTAGGAATCAGAACTGGCTTTGTCCTACAGGTTGAACCTCTGGGCCAGCAACATCTGTAGTCCAGCATGATTTCAGTTAGCTGGATGTCCACTGATCATGGGTGTGGCCACATTTCCCTCAGTCCCATTCAGTTTGTTTACAGCCACCGGTCCTGGCTTCCAGTGCTCTGTGCTGTTAGTTAGAAGACATTTGGGGTAAATTTAAGCTAACAGCCCAGCAAGCAGTGGATGTGTTGGTAATGCTTATATGCAATACTGACCTTGACCTCCTGTGGTCCAGCAAATTCTCTGGTTTGGCACCAGTCAGGTCTCGAGGCTCCCGTTGCAGCTTGGCTCTCTCCTAGTAGAGAGGTTCACCCTGTACAACAAGGCCAGTATCTCTACCAGCTCAGCATCATGCATAGACCACAAGCCTCCCTTTGCTGACTTGACCGTTCCAGTGTTCTAACCGAGTATAGTTGTCATAAGAGGTCCTGGGTAGGAGGGGATCTCTCGTGTACCGGGAGCCAGTCCCATGAAGAAGGCAGTGCTTAAAGGCTGCAGATGGCCTGACACACACACACAAAATTATATATATATTTTTAGTTAATTTCTAAGGTGCTACAAAACCAATTAAGGTTTTTTTTAGTTACAGATTAACATGGTTTCCCCTCCAAGCCAGGAGCTATGCATGCTAATGCTGGGTGATGGTGTCGTGAACATTTGATAGGAAGGAGATCTGGATTTGGTTCTTGTTTATGTCCTGCTGGCACTTGGCCAGCTCCCTAATGGCTGAGCCAAGAGACACAATACAAGCACAGAACGTACTGTCAGCAAGTTCCTGGAAGGCTGTCATCTAATATCCACTGCTTTGGAAAACCCTGCTTTTCGTGTGCGTAAGGCCCAGGAGGTGGCAGTAGTCTCTTGTTCAACCCTTGTCTTAGATTCCCTGGCAACTTGAATAGAACCCAAGACAGTTGCAACATTATTGCATAAAACATTTGTGGTAGCAAAACTGAAGGAGTAATCGCGTGGAGAGTCCTCACTATGAACTTTTAGCCTGCTATCAATATATATATTTTAAAACATGCATCAGTATCAGTCTGAGAGTCCATTTGTTCAATAATTCCTGCTAAACTAGAAGTGGGGAAACTTTTTTGGCTGGGGGGCTACTAACCCACAAAGTTGGGGGCCACACACAAGTGAGAAGTGGGGAGGGAAGCCCTCACTGTGTTCCCTGACTTAGAAACAGAAAGACATTCCCCTCACACAGTGGAGCCCAACCTAGTAGATTTTGTGTGCACCAGCCCTGTGGGAGGGTGAGGGGCGGGGGGTAGATGGGACAGTGGGAAGGTGGGAGTCCTGAACGTAGGAGGCTGAATCCAGGAAAGCTGAAGGCTGGGTGCGGCCCTCTAGCCTTGGTTTCCCCACCCCTGTCCTAAACAGTAAAAGCTAGGACCACCAAATCTGGTTGGCAGCTTCCTCTTACCCTAACTTAAAGCAAGGTCAGAGGTGTGGTTGTGCCAGGACAATGGGATGTGCCTGGAATGGGATTGTGTCTCATACAGTGGAAAGGGAGGGGTCTAGTAGGTGGGAGTTATACTGTGTAACGATCACCGGGGGGGCAGCAAGTGCTGTAGCAGAAAGCCACTGGCTGGCCTGTCCCAAGGAATGGCTGTTGCGCAGAACCCGCTGGCCCTGGAACAGCCCAGGAAGCATTGGCAGGTAGCCTACAGGCTCCCACCACCCTGTCCCATGGTCATCCCCAAGATGAAGCTGGCAGCCAGGGAGCATGGGCCTTCCATCTACCTGACACCAGGAAGAAGCCAGTGGCTGGGGTGTGCGGTCATCCTCCGCACTTTGCGCCAACCAGGGGAGAAGCCAGGGGCCATGGCCCCAAACCCTTTGCGGGCTGCACCCAGGCAATGCCAGGTAAGTCTTCTAGTACTAAATAAAATGAGGCCTTTCTTTTGAAAGCTCACAGCCCCAGGGTTAAATGTTTTTTCAGATGGAGGGACTATTCTCCAGGTCCCCCAGATCTGTTTTTTAAACTTTCTCTACTTTGTCAGTAAGAAACAAACATTAACTGGCCCTCCTGTTTGTGAAGCAGCAAAGCACTCCCACTCAAACACACACCGCTAGGTGCTGCATGCTGATGTTGCCAGCACACTTCTTGGTCAATAAATAAGGTCTTCAGGGGAGTTATCCAGCCATTGCAATACTGAGGTAATGCGCTAAGGTAAAATATTATGTAAATTCAACTCTGATTAGTAGGTGCGAAAGATGATATGCTCCATTCTTTCGTGTACAAACTCTGTCAGCTCCATCAAACACTCTCGGTACGTGGAGCTTACAGGCCTATTGTAAAGATCTAATTTCAGTCTCTTCCCTTGGGGTATGTCTACACTACCCCCCTAGTTCGAACTAGGGGGGGTAATGTAGTCATTCGGAGTTGCAAATGAAGCCCAGGAAATTCAAATCCCGGGCTTCATTTGCAACTCCGAATGACTACATTACCCCCCCTAGTTCGAACTAGGGGGGGTAATGTAGTCATTCGGAGTTGCAAATGAAGCCCAGGAAATTCAAATCCCGGGCTTCATTTGCAACTCCGAATGACTACATTACCCCCCCTAGTTCGAACTAGGGGGGGTAATGTAGTCATTCGGAGTTGCAAATGAAGCCCAGGAAATTCAAATCCCGGGCTTCATTTGCAACTCCGAATGACTACATTACCCCCCCTAGTTCGAACTAGGGGGGTAGTGTAGACATATCCTTGTTAATACAGGATTGTTTCCTGTAGCATGTAACTGTTTGAATTGACTCAGGTCCTCATGGTGCTAGGCACTACAAAGACTGTTCCGTACCCCAAAAGTTTACATTCCAAGCAAGAAAGAGCAGATGGACACAGGCCAATGAGCGCATACAAGGAAACATGAAACCCTATCGATCAGCATTAGGGATGTGAATATTAACGGGTGGGCTGGAGCACCTGTGGGCCTGGACATGCCAGTGGTTCATAGCAGTTGCAGTGATACAAGGGTCTTGCATGGGAGGAAAAAAAGGGAAAGATCTGAGAGGGTTCTTGTCTGGAGGAAGAAAACCAACTTGGAATAGGTGACAGAATAGTAAACAGAAAATATTCTGTTGGGTATGAATTTATTACCAGTTCATCTTCCTCTCTGTGTGGGCTTAACAAGCCTCTGGTAGGCCTAGATAGGATTTGCCCCCAGACGCTTAAAGGCACACTGGGTTTAAATTAAACCATAAAATGTTTATCAACTCAAAGTTAAATGTTAAGTGATTATAAGGAATAGCAAACAGAATGCCCAGCCTGCATTTTTGTTTATTTGCCAAGCTTCACATACTACATAGGGTGAGTCTCAGAGGGGCAGCCATGCAGAACGAGTAGTCCTGTGGCACCTTAGAGACTAACCAAAATATATAGAGAAACTACTGCTTTATATCTGAACTGAGTGCTGATACAAGCAGGCTTGCAGTTTTAAAGGTACAAGCTGCACTTGCTTCAGAGCTTGGAACCACCAAGTTTTTCATACACAGGCTAGAAATCCCTTCATCCTGGGCCCAGTACTTCCCTAAGTGTTTCCAGGGTCTGTCTTGTGCCAGTGATGTCTCTCCCTGCCTTATGCAGTTTGAGCATGCAGTACGAACCCTTGGTTCCAAAATCAGTGTGTGGGCAATGCACCCAAAATGAAGCCCAGAGCAATGTAACCTACACACACGCCCTCCGGAGCCATAGTAG